GTGTGAGTTGAGCTGCGCGTGCATGCACACTGGCCTGCTCTTCATGCAGCCCAGTTGCAAATAGGCCACAGCCCAGTGGTAGGCCATGGCCCACAGGTTGGGGACTGCTGGCCTAAGGCCAACCAGATGTTTTTGTGCCTGAGCTAGGACTAGAATCAGATTTCCCTGCTGCTAGTCCAGCCCCATAACATTATATCAAATGAGCACATGCTCATTCATTCTGCCCCTCCATGTATAGTAGAATATGGCAGAAAATAAGATTATTGCTCAATAAATAACTTGCATGGAACCTAGAGTATTTTCTAAAGATTCTTATTTTAGACAAACCTACAATGTTTTTATGTCCTAACTTAAGAAAGAATGATTTATTCATACCATACTGGATTCAACAAAAGAGGATAAAACTGATCTTTATCTGTCCTTGTTCACTTAGCATGGTTTTCACAATAACTGAACTGAAAAACACCATTTTTTTCTATAACAAAAATTACCAGTAACTACATTTAAATTTCCTTACAATATTTTTTTAAAGTAGGCAATCTGCTATGTCCCAGATGTTCTAGACTAAAATTCTGATTATCACTTGCCATTGTCCATATTAACTGGGACTCTGAAATCCATAAAACCTAAAGAGCAGCAGGCTGCTTCTCCTTTGTCTGTCACAGTAGCAATAGTAGAAGCAGCAGTGAAGATGCTTATAGATGGGCTTTGCTTCCACTAAGGGAGTATCAGAGCGAATATTGAAAGAGATTGAAACGACTTCAGATCTGTCTAAATGTCTGCTTTGCATAAGATTAGTTTCCAGTAATACAGGACATCTCTTTTAGTTTCCCCATTTCAGCAAGCAGCTACTGGGGTCCTTTCATTACCTCTCAAAATGCCATTGGGACACAAAAAGACATCCTAACAGGCACAGTTCAAAGCTTCTCTTTTAGGCTACAGCTAACATAATGCTTTGGAATGAAACTTAAAACATGCCTACTTGAAATTTCTAGACTTGTATTCTTAGTGCTGGTTCGTATATTGGCATGGTCTATAGCAGGGCTGTCAAACGGACCGGATGCTTTACGCGCTAGCCAGGAACCATGCCCGGTTTAGCAAAGGGGAAAAAAGTTCCAATACATCACGTGACGCCGCCATGATGACATGAGTTTGACGCCCCTGGTCTATAGATTATAAATGACATACAGGGCACTTGTCAGGCTCAGTCTGATACCCATATGAATGAAATAAGTCATTCTTGCCTCAGATAAATCAATAACCAGATAACAGGTCACAACTCCTAGATTCCCTTTTCTTTTACAGCCAGGTGTTTGTTACCTGCTCATTTTGTTTCTCCAAAATTTCTACATGCTCAAGTTGGACTTTCTTCAACTGATCCATTTCCTTTGATTGCTTCATTGCCAACTGTAAGCAAAACCAGAAAGGGGGAAAATGAAATAACCACATTCTTTTGTGTTACATGGATTTTCCAAAGTGGTTGTCCCCAAAATATTGCTTTCTGAAAGAACTTGCCATATGGAACACAGCAAGGGGACATAATTCAAAACAACAACAACAACAACAAAAGGAAAATAAGGAACTTCCCGTGATCTCCTTCATGTGATGTGAGCATTATACAATTAAATGAAGCTGATATTTAGCTTGAGGAAAAACCTTAAGAGATGATTTTCTCATTTGGATACCCTATGCTTTTAGGTGCTGTATATAAAATCACTATTGTGCTAGATAAAAGATTCTCAATAAACTTTGAGTAAGACACCTACGTAGGGTTAGTATATTAGCATCCATTCAATTCCACAGACCATCTTAATTCTTTGTACTGATAAAATTACCCAAAGGAAAAATCCGATTCTTATAAGGACTTCAATGTCCCTCCAGGACTGTGTTTCTTTGAAAATGACATTATGGCATGGTGCAATGTAGCTGAACTGTCTACCCCACTGGGCTTATGTTGCTTTCTGACAAGGGAAATAAAAGAACTCAGTCATGTTGCTGCATAGGGCAGGGCATGGAACACATAACAAGTAGAAAGTGATTACTTGATCAACCCATTTATTTGTGTCCTCATAATACCCTAAATCAGAAACCAAGCAAACAGATTGAGTTCATGCAATGCGCTAGGTTATTATTTTTCAGCGTAATTAACATTCCAAAAGCTAAACTGGGAGAATAATAAGAAAATGATGTCTGAACATTGGGTTGATGTGGAGTACTATTTTGAGTTTCCATAGTTTTCTTTTCGTATCCATACATTTTTTTGGGTAAAAATTAAGCATAATAAACTGATCCCTTGATTAACAAATACAAACAGTGTAACTAGATTCATCGTTTATTTATTGGATAAGGAGTGGTGTTATCTATATAAACTTCTTCCACCTTCTAAAATATTTGTGAAATGAAAAAGAGCAATAGTCAAAGAAACTCTCAAAGTGAATTTAGTGTCTCCAGTTTTTAATCTGTAAGAAGTTCGAGTTTCATTAGGAAAATGTTTAGAATATGCCCCAAAACAGGATGCATATGGATGAGATTGCTGGGGCTAGATTCAAACCAATTCTGCTAATCCACATGCAATTGTCTACAACAGAGATCATTTATTTCAGCCTTCCTTCTGAGACATTCCTATTCAGGTACTTTCAATTACAGTGTTCTCAGGGAAATCAACAGCATCAAAAGGTGGGGAGAAGTCTATTCTGTTCATCTCTAGATACAAATTTAACCACTGTGTTTTTCTGAACATATCCATGAATCAACATTCAAGTTGACGCCTGCATATTTCTATATTTCACAATGTGAAATTTCTTTAAAATTACCTAATGAAGACTATAAAATATAGAACACATATATTATATTCAGGGACATATTTTGTAAATTAGGAAAGTGCTTAGAGAAAGGCAGATACTTGATAAAATGCACATGAATATCCAACAGAACCAGGGCAGAAAAAATGATCTGCCTTCAGACTTCAGTTAGTCACAGATAACCTTTTCTGTCCTAGTTTGGACCCAAAGCCCCCAAATATTCCTTTTTTCAAGTCACGACTTCTAAAAATGCTGTATGGTATTTATTTCATGAACAGTTCCTATTTCCACTATGCCTTCTGTCTTTCAATCTACTCAGTTCCATCAGATCTTGGAAAACAGTTCACCAATTTAAAAAAAGTTTATGATATTTCAAATGATTAACTACTCACCCGTTTTCTTTCTTCCAGAAACTTCTTTGTGTTACTGCTATTCAGCTCCCTCACACGCCTATGAATGATATATTTACTACTGTAGTGTCTAGTTGTATTACATATTAAAATGTCACTGAAAAAATACTAAGAGCCTACCTCCTCTTCAGTCACAGACCAGTATAAAATATATCAAATTACACTCATTCCAGAAATAAAAAGTTAAGGTTTAGAATAAGTGACTATTAACAGATAACTAAAACGTTTTCTAACCCTAAGATCTAACAATAATAATTATATCTTTATGGCCTGTCTAAGATTAGTCCACAACTCTTTATTATTAGCATTTAGCAAGAGCTTTGTATGAACTTGTCCATTATAATAAACCTTTCTGAAATAATAAATCTGGGGATAGAAGTGGAAATTTTGTGCCATGAAGGACTTCAATTGAATTATCAAGGAAGCTTTGGTTAGAACAGAATATGGTCCAAATCACACCATTAAATGGAATGAGTTGGACAATGGTGCACGGATTTTTAACTCTTAGTAACATATTTCTGAATTCATGTAACTGACTGTTGAAAAGTGGTCAGTTACAAGATATGGAAAAAGAAACAAGAGGGAAGCAAGGAAATGCTAATTTAATTGTCTAAGACTCTTACCATATACAGTATCTGCCTTGACAATCACCTATCATACATATTAACTGAGATATTGTTTTTCTCAGTTCTAGCCCTTATATATCATCAATCCCAGCCAAGATGAAGTGAACACAACACTTAGAAGTATTCCAATATTTGCAAAAGTACCTAAACTTTAGAAATACAGAAAGGCTCCTCTCTCTTCAGGATAAAATAGCCTCTAATTCCTTCAGCCAAATATTTATTGGAATGTTACTAATGGTGAAATTGAATTTTTTTTACTACCGGTTATGTGGGCGTGGCTTGGTGGGCGTGGCAGGGGAAGGATTCTGCAAAATCCCCATTCCCTCCTAACTCCTGGGGGAAGGATACTGCAAAATCTCCATTCCCACCCCACTATGGGGCCAGCCAGAGGTGGTATTTGCCGGTTCTCTAAACTACTCAAAATTTCCACTACCGGTTCTACAGAACCTGTCAGAATCTGCTGAATTTTACCCCTGAATGTTACTTGAATATAATGGAATTCGCATTACATTTTTGAGGTGGGTTCCAACTGTATTAAGTAATAATGATTTGGTGGGAAGGCAAGTTGCTCTACTCACATTAAATAAAATAGCCCATGAATCTTCCTGAATAAAACTTATTCTATAACCAACAATGTAATATGTACCTTTCTCTTTCAGCTTTGTTTTTGATAGATTTATCTTGGCTTATGGCTTTACTGTTTTCCATTGAAATTTTTGCTTGGTTGGCACGCATTTCTTTACTTTCTCTAAAAAAAGAAAAAATTGTGGCATTTAAATTTCAATTTTAAATGTTGTAGACCAGGGGTGTCAAACTGGATTTATTCGAGGGCTGGATCAGAATTGTAGTTCATGGGCCAGCAAGGGGTGAGGGGAGTGGAGGGTACGGATGCCTCCTGTATCACTTTACCGGCCAAAAGGGGGCACGTGGGGCCATGTGTGCACCCCCCCCATGCCTCATTTTCGGCCTACCCGACCTCCAGCAGCACTTTGCCAGCCAAAACAGGCTGCGCGGGGCCTTAACACAGCCCATTTCTGGCCAGTAGAGTGCTGCTGGAGGCCAGGGAGGCCTGTTTTGGCCAGGAGAGGCAGGGCGGACCGGTCCTTTGATATTTCCGACAGGCCGAATTTAAACACCCCATGGGCCGAATGCAGCTCGTGGGCCTTGAGTTTGACACCCCTGTTCTAGATTGAGGAGTATATATCCTTCGCTTTGATCTGCCAGTCATCAAGATTATACAATCAACATTAGATTATTCTCAGCACTCAGAGAAATGGCTGCACTTTTAAAACAATGATCGGCTGACATAAGTTTTTTTTTAAATTAAGTGAGCCTGGATGGTATGGGAAGTGCTTTCGTCTCCTACTTTCCTACATTGGGCTAAATCCAACCATTTCCAAGTGAACAAATAATAGAATAACAGTATACTGTTATACTGACCTGTCCTGGGAAAGCTTCAGTTGTTGCGTCTGCTGTTCATGCACATTAATTAACAGCTTTTTCAGTAGTTCACACTGTTGACTAAGGTGCAGATCACGCATTTCTTGCTCTTCTGCACTGTGAGTGTTGATCATCTCAGACCATTCTTTGGTGTGCTGTGCCACAATTTCCTTCACCTTTGAGGAAGAAAAGTTGGATCAGTCTTTTCTACTCGTGATTTTTAAAGCATAATGCAGGAGGCACTTCTAGATCCATGTTTTATGTAGACCCAGAATCTTGGGATTATACTAAACCCCTTGTTCCCTGGGTTAATTGATAGTTAATGCACATTTCCCTCTTTTCCCATGTGGTGAGAATCCAGAAACTCTAGTCACTTCTGGCTAATAGACCCCCAATGCCCAGTCAATCCTCGGAAAAATGAGGCATAAGTGGCTGAAAAGTAAAACATTATGTTACAAAGCCAATTAACAATGCCTGAACCATAGAAAATATTTCCCCAAACACTGATTGGCTGTAGCATCAACCCACATCCAGCCAATGAAGAAGGGTTACTGAAATAAGAAAGATAACTCCTAGTAAATGGTTTCAAGGGCTGCTATAAACTCTTCCCCCAGATTCCCTCTCCCCAACACTTGTACTTTGAAGTTGAGATCTTGTCTCCTACCCATACATGGTAAAGGCCTACTTTCCTGTGTCTCATGTCTTGTCTGAGGAAGGTTTTGACAAATTATAAATGGGCAGCTCTATCCTATGCCCACCAGGCAGATAAAATGGTGCACACCCACTACCTATTGGTTGGATAAGTTGGGTACCAATAGCCTCCACCTCCAGCCTTCTTCTCACCCTCCACTGAAAGTGACAAAAAGAGCAACTGCAGTCCATTACCCAGTTCAATGTAATGGAATATAGTATGGAGGTGGATTCCCAGAAGGAAGAGAGGCATTCCAGAGGAGCAAGAGGCAACCCAATTCAGATATTATGTATGAGAGAAAGGGGATGAAGACTGCCCCTCCCTCATAGTTCACAGAGTGTATTGTAAATGGAGATAGTAGAGTGCTTAGAATGCCAAGATTATGTCCATAGGTGTGAAACAATAAAGAACTCAGCTTGGAAGAATCACGATGTGTCATTCTTGGTTTTGGGGCTGATATTAAAAATTATTCCATCCAATATGGCCCTACCATTATCAGACACTTAGGAATCATTTCAACTGTTTCTATAATCCATTTCATAAACCACCCAAACTCACAACAATGAAAATAGGTGAACAGAACTCAGCCCTAGGCAATATGTTCTAAAGCCATTACTGACTCGGCTTGTCTATTATACTCCCATCAATTCTCTCCCAGCAGGTCAACAAATCATTTCCCTCTAATGGCAATAGTTGGGGCTGAAGCGAAGGCAACAGTCATAGTTCTAATGACAAGAACAAACAATCATCCACTGGTCTCATAGCTCCTGCCTTCCAGTTTGTGTTTCAGTCTTCACACCACATGGGAAGTCTGACAAACTGAACCCTTCAATGATGTTGCTGGCCCCATTCTGCTTATGAACTTGGAATAGCCTTCTGCCTCAGTTGCCTTTCCTTACTCTGCTTTTTACTTGTTCTTAAATATGGATCCTTACATGCACTTAAATGTGGATCCTTAACCAGTTTGCTTTGCAATGTACCACCGCATTGGTTCTTCCCCTTCCCCTTGCTTTCATATTTCTTTTATTTTTTCTTCCAGCAATAACTTCTTTCGATACTTCTGTTGTTGTGCAGAGTTCTTTTTGTTGATTTATCTTTTCTCAATTTCAACAACACTTAACCATTGAATTCTCCCAGATCTTTTCTAAGCAGTCCCTCAGGGCATTCCAACCTAATTTTGTTTCTGTTCTTAATCCTTCTTTTGTGTGCCTCCTCCCCCAAATTAAAATTATATTAGATAAAATTAGGGGAAACGTTAAAGTAGAACCTGCCATAGTGTCCCTTTCAATGGAACATGGAATATTTTAGACCAATATTTTTTTCAAACTTGGTAATTTTAAGAAGTGTGGACTTCAACTCCTGGAATTCCTCAGCCATCAAGTTTGAAAAACACTGTTTTAGACTGTGATATGTTGAACTCCAAGTTTAAGTAAACAGATCTATGAGCATAAAGAAAATATTTGTTTATAAATTGTGGTCCTTGACCAGCATAGCATGAATCTTTGCTGTCAGATCTAACACTAAGGAATTCCAGCTGTGTGGGCTAAATTGTTTTACTACCAGTTTAATCTTCAATGGGAAAAAAATTGTATTTTTACTTGCTGTCTTGCCCTCTCCCTTTGTTTTCCAAAGTAGTCCAAAGAACCTGCAGTCTTTTTCCCCCTTTATTTCCTGGGAAACAAAACTTATTTCCGACTTCTAGAAATGACTCTCACTATTTGACAGTCACGTACTGAAATGGGCTTCTTTTGCTCTTACCTTTGATTTATGATCAGATGTTAACATTTGAACTTTACTTTCCGTTTCTTTTTTCATCTCAAGACAATTATTTCCTCTACACACAAACAAAACAGAAGTATTTCAAGAAAGCATTTCAAATTAAATTGTTCAAATAAACCTCAGAAGATGAACCAAAACTTGAAAAAAGTTTTTAGAAATGCAACTTGGGTCTGTTGCCATTGCTGGAGATGTTCAAGAACAGACTGGGCAATCTTTTGTCTTGGCTGGATAAGGACCCTGCCCTTGGTCAGGGGGTTGGACTAGAAGATCTCCAAGGTCCCGTCCAGCTCTATGATTCTATTCTAATCATCTATTTATTACCCGGTGTAATATCCCCATCTGAAATGTGAATCTATTCTTTATTTAGTTAATCTTGATGAAAAAAGAAAGAAAAATTACAATCTGCCCAGAACCAAAGGCGATTTAGGTCTTTCTCACTTTTTCCTGTTAGTCCAGATTGTAGAACCGTGTTTCTCAATGAATCTTTAAGCTACTCAGCAGGGAATCCCAAAGGTGTTTTTTTCCAAAAGGAAACTGGACTTTCTGAACTAAAGAAGCTTCTTGGTGTTTTCAAGAAAAAAAATCCAAGAAAGTCTAGTTGCATTTGAGAAAAAAGCATCCTTGGGACAACCATGACTTGGATGATTGAGAATCTCCATAGATACTCAGCAGGGCGTTTCAGAAATGTTAATAAACGTATGTCCACCTTTCCATTCCAATATATTGATACAAGTACCATTTGGGAATTAGCTATGGTTTAGATAAAAATGGGCATTATGTAGATACTGCTGGGCCAGAACTGTTTTTGTCCCTTTCCTGTGGCCATGGGGGAGTGAGAGGGTTGAAACTAAGAAGAATATCTGGAAGGAAACCATCCTATATTTAAATAGGATTTATCGTAACAATCTTAGAATGTCCCTAGCACTGCATACATAAGTAATCCTTGATTTACAATCATTCATTTCACAACTATTTGAAGTTACAATGGCACTGGAAAAAAAGTAATTTGCAACAGGTCCTCACTCTTTAAATTCTCATGGCATCCCCACCGTCCTACGATCAACATTTAGGCACTTGGCAACTGGTATATTTAGGATGGCAGTAGCATTCCGTGGCCATGTGATCATCACTTGCAACCTTCCCGCCTGGCATCCAGCAAACAAAATCAGTGGGGAAAACTAGATTTGCTGAGCAACTACACGATTCCTTTAAAAAATCATGATGCAGTGATTTGATTTACAACGTAGCAAAAAAGGTCGTAAAATCAGGCGAGATTCACTTAAAAACAGCCTTGCTTAGAAACAGAAATGCTGGTCCCAATTGTTGGAGTAAGTTGAGGCTACCTGTACATGTATTAATAAACATCCATATTTATTTTAACACATCAAGAGTATTTGAAAATACACATCCTGTTAGCAGTGGCTAATGAAAGCTAAATGAGCAATATATTTTAAAAGTTCTGGAGATCACAATGTCTGTTTCTTTTATATACAGTATCTATCTTACACACACACACACACACACACACACACACTATATGTGTACATATATATAATTCTTCCCATAAAGAGAACCACAAATGGAGGCAACCGTGTCTTATGCTTTCACTCCGCAATGTGTAGTTGTGGGATCAGCAGCTTTTTCAGATTTATTGTGAGATATTNTTCAAGTGATGACTATGGAAAGGACGCAGAAAGACCTTGTAACCAATCGACACACTGTATGTAGTTGAAGAGGCTTTTATGTTATATGTGTTGTGAGTTTGTTTGAAAATAATAAAAAAATAAAAAAAGAAATTGGGAACTTTAGGAAATGGTGATACATTTAAAATATTAAGTACCTGGTTTATATACTCACAGAAGGACTGCTATTACCTCCATCTGAGAAGTTTGCATTTATAAAGCAAATTTACAGGATTATGAACTTGTCTTTGGTAATATTGCCACTTCAGAAACCATAGCAGCTAAATTATTTTGAAGTCCAAATCATGAGTATTCTTAATAAAGATTATGCCTTTTGGAAAAATAGGTGTACTCTGCAGAATTGCCATTTTTTTTTCTATCTCCATATCACAACCAGCCTTTAAATTGTCTAGCATTTGGCTTTTGACATGACCTGAAATTTGGATGGCATAAATATTTGTAGTATAATAAAGCCAAGGTTAATGAGGATTTTAAAAATCTCTGTATGCTAGACATGCCATATTGAGAATATGGAATAGTTATAAACCCAGGTTGTGTTAAAAAACACCTTTTGTGGACTTTAGCACAAGAATCATTTTATACTTTAGTAGTAATAGACAAATACAAATGGCTAACTTATAGGGAAGGCAGAAGCTAATTTTTCACACATTTCCTTTCCTTTTTAATTCTGCACAAAATGGCACCACTCTAATGAATGTAAGCTGCAGAAATATTGCTGATTGAGATGAGTTCTTGGGAGTCAGAGTCAAGTAGAAGGGTGCAGATGGTGTGACTGTCTAATATTCCTGTGGTTAATGCCAGAGTTTATTCTTGGCAGACCCTCTCAACTCACCAGGAACTTTGGAAGAAAGAAAAAAGAATAGCCCCCCCAGATGCAATTCTTAAGAAATTCTCAGTGGAAGAGCTATGCACTATGACAACAGTCTTAAGTGGGCCTCATCTAAACCAGGGATCTCCAACTGTGAGATCTTCAGTCTCTTAATGTAATGTGGCAATCATACGGAACATTTATTAAGCATATTTTTACGCTGCCACATTAAAAAATGGCTTTCAGTGACTCACATAAAAAAAATACAATATAAAGCAGGTTGATAATGACCTCACAATGGGAGTCAGACAGTGTCACTTGTTTCAGAATTGTTAAAAGCTTGACCAGGGCAGAGTTAATTGTCACAAGGACAGCTGCTGTGTAACACCACAGAAATGAAGATTGGGAAAAGGGAAAAAGAATTAAGGAGGGAAAATGATCCATATATGCGCCATATAGTAAGTACTTGTTGACACAGTTAGCATCAAGAAAAAGGTGTTTCTAGTGTAATTGAATATAAAATGTGTTTTTTATTGTATTTTTCAAATAGGATTTAGCTGGATTAAGAGGTTTTCCATAAAAAGTACAATTAGGTAAAACCAGCTAGGTTTTTTTAGTGAGACATTTGCAATGTGATAAAGAATATATCTTAAAGTCATAAGGATGTCAAAGCAGGTTAGGCTGAAAAACTTAAAAAATTGTCCGAGGAAGNCATATTGAAATGCATCCTTCTCCCGTTTTTAATAGATGATATTCAAATGAAGAGAATCTCACATCCACAAAATTAGTGGCCCAGATCTCGTAGGGGACGACTAATTTCGCCGCGAATTCCGCCATGAGGCAGGTGGTTCCGTTTTCCCGAACTACAAAAATAGCCTTTTCGGGATTTGGAGATAAGCCCGAAAGGTTCTCCGCTTCTTGTTCTGCCAGCCCACCAGCTAGTGCATCTGTTGGGAGAGAGAGAGAAAAATAGGGAAAGAGAAGCGAGAGGATTCAGATTTAGGTTGCCGAAAAGGGGGGGATTTCTCTCTACCGGCAGCTTCTGCCTGCTTTGGGCATGAAGTTAAATCAGTTAGAATTTCGGCAGGGAATTCCAGCGATCTACCTTCCCCGGGGCGGTGGGGACTGGGGGGAGGGAAGCTATTTAGTCGCATCTATTTTTCTTACACCCAGGACACACCAGCGATCTTTTTCTGGCTGTTTTCCACTCCCCTTTCCCCAAATCGAGCTGGGGAAAAAAAGGCGAATAGGCGGAACATTTTCGGGGTCGGGGCGATGAGAGGCGAGTCCCTGCTAAAGGCGGGAAAGCCTGTACTCACGGAAAAGCAAAAGCAGTCCCTGCAGTCGCGGGATACCTCCCGAGGTTTCGCACCTTCTCCGCTCCATGCTTCCCAAGGCGAGCCCGCAAGGAAGAAGGCAAGAGACGGGAAGCCGCGTGGGTGGGCTTCCCCTCGCCCGCTCCCGCTACTGCAGCGTCGCTGCGCGGAGGCGAATGCGCCTCGGTTAGTTTTCCGAGCTCCGAGTAAGTGGCGGGGAGGCGGGGTGTACGTGGCAGGCCGGCGGGAGCTGTCCGAGGTACTGAACTCCCTCGTAGTCCTTAAACGTTCCCCAGCTGGTTCCGGGGAGAGAGAGAGTTGTCCAGGCTACCGTCCCACAGCTCGTGACTTGCCGCAACTCGCTCAACAGAAAGTGGAACTTCAAAAGGCCACTGCCAGAGATGGCTGGTAAAGCACCTGCTTCGGATTAAAATCTCTGCCAGTGTTGTGGTCTTTGCTTCCCTTGCCCATCCACTCCCCCAGATCATTGTCTTCACCAGGCAGCTCCAATTGTCTTGAAGACATCCAACTACGCATTCCTTCTCCCTCCATCCTTCTTCCAGACGACGCCTCTTTTATTAACTTCACAAGATTGAGAAGTTTAAAATACTCTTTCCTGATCCTGTTTAAGATAGTTCCCCTTTTCCTACACACACACACACACACACACACACACACACACACACACACA